TCTCTCTCTCCTCTCTCTCTCTCTCTCTCTCTTCTCTCGTCTCTCTCTCTCTCCTCTCTATCTCTCTCGTTTCTTTTCCTCTCTCTCCTCTCATCTTTTTCTCTTTTCTCTCTCTCTCTCTGTCTTCTCTCTTTTCTCTCTCTCTCTCTCTCTCTCTCATCTCTCCCTCCCCTTCTCTCTCATCTCTCTCCCTCCCCTTCTCTCTCTCTCTCCTCCCCTTCTCTTCTCTCGCGCCTCCCCTTCTCTCTCTCTCTCTCCCTCCCCTTCTCTCTCTCTCTCTCCTCCCTCTCTCTCTCTCTCTCCTCCCCCTTCTCTCTCTCTCTCTCCCTCCCCTTCTCTCTCTCTCCTCTCCCTCCCCCTTCTCTCTCTCTCTCTCCCTCCCCTTCTCTCTCTCTCTCTCCATCCCCTTCTCTCTCTCTCTCACCTCCCCTTCTCTCTCTCTCTCCCTCCCCTTCTCTCATCTCTCTCCCTCTCCCTCCCCTTCTCTCTCTCTCTCCCTCTCCCTCCCTTCTCTCTCTCTCTCCCTCCCCTTCTCTCTCTCTCTTCCCTCCCCTTCTCTCTCTCCCTCCCTCCCTCCCTCCTCTCCCTCCCTCCCTCCCTCCCCCCCCTTTTCTCTCTTTCTCTCTCTCACTCTCTCTCTCTCTCTCTCTCTTTCTTTCTTTCTTTCTTTCTTTCTCTCTTTCTCTTTTCTCTCTTTCTCTCAGTCTCTTTCTCTTTTTTTTATTTTATTATTTTTTTTTATTTATACTTTATAGATACAGGTTATAGACAGGGGGTTATTTCTAATGCCTTGTTTTATTTAATCCTAAGACTTTCTTATGAATGAAAATCTATCTAGAAGCTTGACCTTATGGGAAGACTTGTGTCTTTGTTATGAGTTGAAACACCAATCAACCAGGATCGTGGGACCTCCATCTATTTACAGCAGTCTTGAAGGCTTGCAGGCTGGGGAGGTTGTGCAAAGAGGTTTGCTGAACCATCGTGTTCCATAGCCTGGAATATTTGGCTTGTAAAGAGCGTAGATGAAGTTGAGTCCTGGAGAAAGGTATTTGCAGCTCTTGACTGCGGGCAGCCGCTCGGTTTAAGTCGCAGGGACATGAGATGAGGGATGCGTTGCCTGTGTACTTTGTAGAGTACACAGAGAG